TTTTCAATAAGTATTTTAAATCCATAAACAACTTATAAAATTCTATTTTAAAATTTTTTTTCTTGGTTTTCCAGCTTAATAATGATTAATTTAAAAAGTCCATTACTTTTAAAAACTATTGGACAAATGGATTACTGTTAAAAACTATTACATGAATGAATTATTATAATATTGGATAAATGAAATTTTAAAATTAATTTAAATAGGAATAATTAATAAATTCTACTAACATCAAAATCAGATGGTTCATTGCTAGTAGATTTAACTCCATGTGTGCTATCATATCCAGCAGGTGCTTCATTTAAATCTTTCTGAAATTTTCTGTATGTCTAAATATAATTTATAATGAATAAATATGAATCCATATAATGCTGAAACTAATACAACGCTCGAATTTGATCAACATTGATCAGCTAAAGTTAAAAAATTGAAAAGTAGATAAACAATTTTTCAGATGATGAAATTAAAATTAAATTGTCATCTGATTTTTATACACATAAAAACTTTATGTACTCTTAGAATTTAAATAAATTGTTTGTTTTGCCGGTTGTTTTTTTAATTTGTTTATTTAAAATTTAAATAAATATTCGTTTTGCCGTATTTCTTTTTAAATGTTTTATCTTGAGTATAAATAAAAGATTGACATTTTTATTTTAATTATTTTGTTTAGATTTTAAATTAGCATTAATTTTGCCATATTTATTTTAATTATTTTGTTTAGCATATAAATAAATTATTTTATTTAGAATTGAAAACTTTGCTTTTTTTTAAAGTATTTTATTTAAAGATTTTCGTTTAAAATAAAATAAAAATTAGTTTTTATTTTTGCCGTTTTTATTTTAATTATTTTATTTAGAATATAAATAAAACGTTTGTTTTGCTGATTTTATTTTATTTAAAATTAATTAAAATAAAACTCGCTGTTTTTTTTAAATTATTTTATTTAGAACTTAAATAAGTTGTTTGTTATTAAATTAAAATGAATTAAATTTAAAACTTATTTCATTTTAATATAATTTTGATGTTAATTTAATATTTTTAACTTTCTGTATTTCAAATGTTCTTCTATTAATTATAATTGAAGTTTGACAAGCAATTACTGCTGATCAAATTTGATTGGCAAGAGTTAATTTTAGGAGATCAAAATGTCAATTTTTTTTAAAAGTAGCCAATCAATGATCAGCTGTTATTTTGAGCACTGATCTTGTACATTATGACTTTGAGCACTGATCTTGTACATTATGACAAAATTTAACAATTTTATCCAATCTTATTATAATAAATATTTTGCTGTTTTTATTTTAAATATTTTACTTAATAATTTACTTGATAGAATTTTTCAATCTGTAAACATTTACAACTAGCCAACCCTTTATTAATTGACTTTTCTTTTTTTTTTTATAGTGTGATAATAATAAGGTTGTTTAAAATATCTTGTTTAACATATATTTTGTCATCACTTTTAAAATATTTTTTTTTTAAATCAGTTTTCTTTTTTAAACTAAGTTTTAAATATCATATTAATAAATTAAAAAGAACTATAAAATTAATAATTTCAAGACAGATTATAAGAAAAAACATTTTATTTTATTAATAGATTAAACATTATTTTTTGCTTTAAATTTTTTATTTTTGAAAGGCTTTTTTTTCATAAATGCTTTTTTCAGACAATTACATTTCCATTTTGTTGATACTTTTATTTTTATTGTATATACTAACCTTATACATAATTTCATTTATTAAATGTACATCTGTTACTACTTTTTTATAATAATAGAGTTAAATTTTATACATTTAATATATTTTATACATTCGTACATTTTATACATTAGTACATTTAATATATTTTATACATTCAATATTTTTGATTATTAAACTTATGTTTGTGAAATTTTATCATAAAAAATTGACTTGCAACTTTTGGTAATCAAACTTGATCCACATAAATTAATTTTGGGAGGTTAAATTATCAAAATTATCATTTTTTCATTAAAAAAAAATACGATTATTGATTGTTAAACATTTTTCATTTCGAGCACTGTTAATACTCCTATAGTTAGTGATTTATATCAGAGACACTTAAAGTACTAAAAACTTGAAACATGTAAGTAAAGCTTTATTAACTGAAAGTTAGTGTTTTAACTTTTTAAACCCTTTAGAGATGACCTTAAATCCTGGATTTTACATTTTTTTAGAGATATAATAATTGATCTAGATCTTAGATTTTAAAAAATAATAATAATTTCTTACTATTACTTTTTTTTTATTGCTTTTTACTTACAGATTTTAAAACATTTTTATATAACTGTGTGTGTATATATACATATATATATATATATATATATATATATATATATATATATATATATATATATATATATATATATATATATATATATATATATATATACACACACACATATATATATATATATATATACATATATATATACATATATATATATATACATATATAAATATATATATATATATACATATATATATATATATACATATATATATATATACATATATATATATATATACATATATATATATATACATATATATATACATATATATATATACATATATATATATATATATATATATATATATATATATATATATATACATATATATATATATATATATACATATATATATATATATATATATATATATATATATATATATATATATATATATATCAGGCTTGGTCAGGAAGCGGGTGCGATCGCACTCGATATTTGACCACAGAAATTATATTTAGTTGCGAAAAGCCGGCCAGATTTTTTAGGCGTTTTGAGAACATTTCAAAAACAAGCAAAAAAGCGCAATAAGATAAACTGGACCGATGAGAGACAGTTAAAAAAAAGAAAAATAGCTTTTAACGCAAAACTTTAAGCAAAATAAATACGATTAGAGTTTCAAAATATTTTTGAAACGTCGCTCTTTTATAATTTTTTTTTTTTAAAAAAGCGACATTTTTTGTATATAGTAACAACGTATTAATAATGATTGTTTAATAAAGAAACAAATGTCCTTCAATTTATCAAAGATTATATATAATTTTTATTTATATACTTATGTCTTATTTCCAGTGCTGGAAATAAGAGGTGGGGGGGGGTAGAAGAGCTATAGTCCCGGGACACACAATGTTATGGGCCGAGAAATAGTCAAGAGGACCTATCGGTATTTTTAAGTCATTTTTACGCTGTCACACATAAAAAAGGCCACCAAAATAATGCAGCCCCCGGCCCTGTAAAGTCCAACAAGATTAAACCAATAAAACTAACGCTACATAATTTAATTATAAGTAAAAAAAGTTTTTTCGGTACCTGTTTTATGCTTCGCGTAGTTTGAAAAGTTTAACATATTTGAAACAATTCTTCTTAGAAAGATGAACAAATGAAATAACTAAATCATTGAGTTACTGTGGAAATTTAATTAGCTAGATAGAAATTAACTAAAAACGTTAAATTACTTTGTAAGGAGGAAGCGGAACTGCTTAACAATATTGCTGATGACGTTTAGTGAGTGGGCTTTATATCTTTAACTAGTATTTTACAGAAAAAAAAAACTTTAAGTGTAAGTATAACGAGTTTGTAAGAATGGCTGAAGCAAAAATAATTGAAGTTAATAAACCAATTTCTAATACATTACATACATATAAATACATCCCTTATATATAAAAAATAAGATTATACTAATTAAATCTATAATATATTTACAAAACGTTGACAAGTTAAAAAATATAAATTTAAAACATTTATTTTTGTAAACAAATGTTAGTTTAAAACATTTATAGCTTTATGGATGTGACTCCGAGAATGATCCATCGTATTAAAATAATTGTTCATTTGATAGTATATTCTTAAAACAATTGATGCTAGAATTCTCAACAAAAAAATAACAAAAACAAAAACAAAAAAAAAAAAAAAAGATTTTGAAAAATAATTCAACAGAATACTCTAGAACAGTCGCGTAGTAATTTCAGTTATTTATTAATTGAACTAATAGAATTAGTTGTTCGTAAATTTGGCGGGTTTTTTGTGTTCGCGAATATTCTTTATTTATTTTTCCGCACTAAGATGTTTGACAACATTCAAGTTTATATAAGTTTCCATGTACGTCCGTAAAAAAAAATCTTATAAATTTATGATAAAATGAACTTATTATTTTGCGGACAAACAAGGAAACATACATAAACTGAAATGTTCTCAAAACGCCTGAAAAATCTGGCCGGCTTTTCACAAGTAAATATAATTTCCGTGGTCAATTATCGAGTGCGATCGCACCCGCTTCCCGACCAAGCCTGATATATATATATATATATACATATATATATATATGTATATATATATATATATATGTATGTATATATATATATATATATATATATATATATATATATATATATATATATATATATATATATATATATATATATATATATATATATATATATATATATATATATATATATATATATATATATATATATATATATATTAACAAAGAAAAAACAACTTTTTCTATGGTAATTTAAGTTTCATGTCTATAACAGCAAAAAAGATAAAAGGAATTTATTCTTGTGCCCGCATTTTGAAATCAAGAAATTTTTTTATTTAATAAATTTTCATCTTAATATATTCAAATATGCTACTCATGTATGCCAAACATCAAGTCCATCATTAATTTGTACAATCACAAAATATTATATAGCCAAGGTAAAGATGAGGAAAAAACATGCAACTGTGTCAACAAATCCATTTGCCCCATGAACAATCAGTGCTTGACAAAGAACATTGTTTATCAAGCTATCATGTTGTCAAATAAACCTGACTACAAAGAAAAAGTATATTTTGCCTTATGTGAAACTCCATTCAAATCATATGCTAATCACCTAAAATCTTTCAACACTAATAAATATAAAATTGATACAGAGTTGTCTATAGAAATTTGGGACATAAAAGACAAAATATTTTTCACCCTTGATTAAGTTAAAAATTGTGAAACATTGCAACCCTTTATAACTCCTTGTCAAAAATTTGCAACCTTTGCTTATACGAAAAATTCCTAATATTAACATATAAAGGTGAAAACTTATTGAATAAACAAAATGATTTCAAAATGCAGGCACAAGAATAAATTCTTCTTATCTTTTTTTGACACCGGCTAATATTTTGTTTTTTCTTTGGTTCTCATTAAGTATGTTTTTTGCGACGTAAAGATCTCACTATACAGTATTTTGTAACTTTTAGCAGGTTTTTTTGTTTTTGATTCTGTATTCAATGACTGATGATTGCCTTATAGGCATGAAACTTAAAGTACCATAGAAAAAGTTGTTTTTTCTTAGTTGATATATAAATGCATATCGCTCTATTTAAAATATCTTTTTAATATTGTCATGGAAAAATTTTAATTACACCAAGCAAGCTTATATATAAACACACACACATGTATTAGATCTTAATAACCTTATCAAAATATTGAAAATTTAAAAAAGAAAAAAAAAATATCACTGAGAAATTTATAGTTGGTACTTTTTTACCTTTGTTTTTCCTAAATTTAGTTCACACAAAAGCATAAACCTGCTGCCACTTGTTTGTGATGGTTTGGAGTATTTAATACAAGTGCTACAAATATTAGAAGTAACAAACTTTATTCTAACTGATAAACCGATTTTTAAGTATATTTCTTGAATGAAAAATAGCTTTTTTAATAAAACTTACGAAGCAGCACTTGCAAAATATATCCCATTGCCAAGCATGCCAACATCAGTCCTCTCTCCTCCGTGTTGATCAACCACAACTTTTGGTAAAAGTAAACCTCTAATAAAATGTACTAATATGTGCATATGACTTATTACAAAAAAAAAAAAAAAAGATTTTATCTAAAGTCAGATACCTAAAATTAAAAAGTAAAAAAAAAAAAAAAAGTAAAAAAAACGTTCCTAAAATATTAGAAATTAATTTAGCATACTTAAATCCATACATACCTGGATAAAATTCCAACCAAGTTTTCTGTCTGAAAATAAATTAAAATAACAAAAATAAATTTAACAATATAATAACAACCATAAAATATGTTGATAAATAAATGGATGCACATACAGATGTAGAATGAAAAAATGGTCCAACAAAATCAACTCCTCCTTTCTCAGATATTCGGTTCAATTCAAAGGCACTTAAAACTTCAATTTCTTTAGCTCTAAAATATGCAAAGACAAAATATACAATAACAATGTTAAAATATATGCTATGGAATGTTATATTAGTATAAACATCTACATTCATTTGTTTAAGCATCAAAAATTAAATACACACTCACATACAGATATATTTATATATACTATACTTAAATATATCTGTATGTGTGTGTGTGCATGAAACCTATTGAAACGCCATCTGACTATTTATAATATTTACCTTTAAATAAATAAGAACAGGATGATGAAGTTTGAAGTAAATTTTCTTAAATATACAAATTATGTCAAGAAAGATGGAAAAAAAAAACTATATTATTTATTAATGACATGTTTTGAAGTTAAATATCAATAATAAATTATTCTGTCTGTTGAAAATATTGATAATCCTAGTGTAAGATATTGATAATCCTAGTGTAAGATATAAATATTGATAATCCTAGTGCAAGATTTTAAACTTTTACTTATGAGATTTTACTCATATTTTAAAAAAACTGAAATTGATAAAAAGTTAAAAACTTGAAAGTTATTAAAAACTTGTAAAAATCTAATAAATAAATTTACAGTAGCATCCTAAAACTTAGGGACAGTCACTTATTTCACTGCAAATAAAAACGTTACAAAAATTTATTTTGAGCAATGCATTCAATATTCTTGAAATTTTCACGGAATATAGCTAATAAATTTTATATGAAAATAAGAATATTTTTCAAATGAGCATTTAATAATGTAATTAAAAAAAGAGTTTTTCTGTGGTTTTTTGAACCACAGTTTTTCTGTGGTTCAAAAGTTTAAGGACACTTGTAGTATTATTAATTAAAATTCACATATGTGGTTTACTAGTTTGATTATAATATCTAATGAAATCTTTGATCATTCTGATTCAATTAAAGCAAATCTTCTTATTTGTTGATTAAATCATTCTTACTTGTTGGTTTTCAATCTTTGAATGGACAATCTAGGTGTTCCCATAAATGCTCAATTGGATTGAGATCACAAATTTATGATGGCTATTTGAGAAAGTAAATTTTTTTTAGTTGCCAAAAAAATTCTTTACAGAGACTGCAGTATTCTTTGGATCATTGTCTTGTTGAAATATCCATCCTCATGGCATTTTATCCTTAGGATGACGAAGCATTTTATCATTAATGATCTCCTTATACACATGCTGATCTCTTTCTTTAATATGAAGAATAGGTTTAATCACACCTGAAGCAACCCAAACCATAATATTTCCACCACCATGCTTGACAGTTAGAAATTGGTACTTATGATTAAAAAATAACAATAGCATTAAAGAAAGGCTTGCATCTGAAAAAAGGTAATTTTCAAATGTTTAATGTAAATAAAGATTTATAAATGAAAGGGAATATTTATAAAATATTATTAGTATAAACAAATTATATTTTTTAGGAAGGAATCAGAGACACCTATTCAAATTGTTTTAATAATTACATACATTTACATATTTTATTTTAACAACATACATATTTGATTTTTTTTTTTTAATTGGGTCCTTATGAATCAAAAAGGTGTCTAAAAAATTCTCAACACACACAATCTAACAAAAAAAAAGTTATTGCAGAAAAGAAAAAAACTACAAAGTATAATATGAAATTTATGTTTCAAATAGCCCCGGAATTTGTGCCCCGGAATTTGTTGAATACCCAACTAAATTTTATTTTTAAAGGAATAAATTATTTTAAAAATTTACCTATAAAGTTATCCTACTGCTGATGATAAATTTAGTTTAAAAATTTCATCAGCTTCGTTGATAAAATATAAGTAATAAGTAAGAAAATATTACTTTTGCAATTTAAAAATAAATAACAATAAAAAATAAAAGTTAATTATATTATTATATTATGACAAGTGACTAGAAATAAAAAAAACATAAAAACCTTTTTACCTTTTATAAACTTTGACATAAGAAATTATTATTATATATTTTGCTATTTAAAGATTGTAATAATAAACAAATATAATAGAAAATATGATAAAATATATATGAAAAATGACACTTTTAAATGATGTATAAAAAGCGATACTTTAACCCTTATATAATATTTTTTTAAATTTCAATTTTAATATTTAATAGCTAATATTTGAAAATGTTAAACAAATGTTCATTTAACGGAAAAACACCAATTTATAAATAGTAAAAAGAGTAAAACTAGATCAAATCATACTATTTTTTTGATCACTGATTGAAAAATTTAAACAAAACAGGAGCAGAATATTAAAAATAATTAAAACACCAGAAGAAATAGGACTATTTAAAATAAAAAATTTCATTCATTATACTTTTTATAAAATTTTAAAAAAGAGTTGTAAATGTTTTCATAATAACACAGGAACCACATTTTGTTTGAAAATAACTTTACCTCTATCGATTAGAAAATTTATTAATATCTATTAGATAACTTTTTTTTTTGTCTTATAGTTAAAAGTTAGACAAAAAAAATTAATATTAACTTTTTTCTGTTAAAACCGATAATTCACATATTTACTTTAAATTCCTATATTAAGTACATATGTGAATTTTTTAAATTAGATACTTATGTGATTCATTGGATTTTCTTTTCTGTTAGTTACAATTTCTTCCTATATAAAGTAATAGACAAAAATGACTAAATAATATTTATTAAATATTCACTTTCAAGATGCCAACAAGTAAAGATTTGTACAATGAAGAAGATATAGAAGCCACATTAATTGATATAAAAGAAAATACTTTAAGAGAAAAGCTGCATCCAAATTTGGCATTTCATACTCAACTCTATAGGTCGCAAGCACAACAACAATGTAAGTTTCAAGGAAACAGGAACAACTGAACTATCGCAGCAATAACTCAAAATAAAGAACCATTTATATCACCTTCAGCAAAAAGCAGAAAAGTTATCAAATGCTGAAAGTGTTGAAAAAAAATAAATTTAGACATAAATTATTGTGAGAATCCAAATTGCAACACCTTTAAGGTTTTGTGACGTTGTGGTTGTTTATAAATAATGCCACGCTAAATTTAATATTTGCACTGTGATTTTTTTTTTATATAAAGCCCTATAATTCTTTAAAAACCTCTGCGTAACCATTGATCTTTAATTTTTATTCAAAAAACTTTGTTTATGGACAAGCCCTTAAAAGATAAATTTAGCATGACTTTGTTTATGAACAAGCCCTTAAATAACCATTCTGTCTCGTTGCTCTCTTTCTTACATTTGTACTTCTATCTTTTGATATTTATGCATTTTTCTCCAGTTAACAATGACTTCATCAATGGTTAGCGACTTAGGTTGTGGTCTAGAGGTGCTGTTAGTGATAAATCTCCAGGATTTAGGTATATTGTGACTCCATAAGGCAATTAGTTGGAGGATGATAAATTACATTACGTATACGTTTATATAACATTTTTTAATACTAAAATATATAATATATAAAATAAAATTTATATTTATATATATATATATCTGTGTGTGTGCAAATAAGTTAAAATTAAACATTTACTCCATGCTTGACATTGAGATGGTTTTCTTTAGTTCACCTAAAGCTTCATAGTGTAGTTCTTTAATATTACATCCCAATGCTTTGTATTTGGCATTCAAACTTGGAATGGTTTTCCAGTTTGTTGATTCGCTTACTCCAACTACATCCTTTATCACCTAAATATTTACAAAAACTTGAATTAGTATTGCACACAATTTTTAAGTAAAATGATATCTTAGTCTTTAAACAAAATTATTTAAAAATATTTTTAAAACAATATAAATACCTGGTCAAACATTTTAGAAATAATTGCAATACCTGACATAGGTCAAACATTCTTGAAATGATTTTAGCATTATCTAAAACATTGTTATTTTTTTTAAGTTTTATTATACTATAGAACTCTTCACTTAAAGTTTTTAACTTTTCATCTTTCTTTTCAAAACATTCTTTTATTTGCAATAAAATTCCTTCAGCCCTGACCACATCAGCTAAGATATATGAGTGAATGCTATTTGCAAGCAAATCTTTTAAATTTCCTTGAGCATCTGCCCAAATGGTGTTCACTAGGTGACTTAAGTTTGATGTCATTTCTGTTCTTACTTCAGAATTTCTTCCAGGCCACTAAAAAAATATTAATTTTTTTTTATTAAGTATGTTGAAGCATATGAAGTCTTTAAATATCTTAAAGTTAAGTACAAATAAAAACGTACTTCATATAGATATTTTGATCCAATAGCATAACTTTTTGAAAGTGGTTCACTAAGTTCATTTTTATTTTGAAACTCTTTTTTATACTGATTTATACAAGCACCAAATAAAATTTCACATTCATACGCGTCTTTTGCTGCTCTGTATTCACAAACATTTTTGCTTGTTTCCTAGATACAAATAATATTAAAAATGCTTCTGTAGGTGGAGATATAATCATGCAGTATTATCATGAATGTAGGTACAATTATGAGGTTGGTTTGGTGAAAGTGATACAATGGAGAAGGGAAAATAGAAGGTATAGCTGAAATAATATATTGGAGGAAGTATAATGGAGGTTATACTTTAGCTGAATTGTTGTGGTGAAGATAGTATGATGGAGGTCAGTATGGCCTCATTAATAGAGAAAGATATAGTAGCAGTGAAAAAATGAAATAAGTAAGGTGGCATTTTGAAGGAGGTGCAGTAAAGGTTATATAAAGTTGATATAGAATATAATTAAAACAGTTTGGTTGAGGTGCTATGGTGGAGACAAATACTGTGGATAATTAACTAATACTTATTAGTTATTAGATATTATTAAAAAACATGTCTAAGAACTTGATATTATTATAACACCTTTTCTGTCACATTATTTCCATATTGACACCATACCCTCCATGCTCCATCACAAGAAACATGAAGCTCGATTAAACAAAAAGGCCTGTTCCCATCACTTTTTGAGTTTTCCTGTTAAATTAAATAAAAAAACTTTAATTAGAATTATCAATTAAAAATTTAATTTAAACAAAAAAAATTTTAAAACATTTTAAAAAAATATTCTTACAAGAAGAAGGAAATATTTTGGCACTTCAAACAAAATATCATTATTCCAAGGTCCTTTTCCATCACTCCATACCCTAAACATATATTTTTTTTATCATCATTATACAATAATATATTGGATACATCTTTTAAATAATCATTTTTAGAATTTAATATGTCTATTAAATATACATTTATTAAAAATCATTTACAGAAATTAATATATCTATTAAATATACATGATGTATATTTAATAGATATAATAATTTTTGTAAATGATTTTTAATAGACATAACATCTATTAAGAACCATATAGAAAAATTAATATATGTTTTTAATATACATCTAAATTTTTAAAAAAAGATTTTATGATCAAATTAATAATTATAAAGTAAATATTTTTTAAAACAAAAAATTGTCATTATAACTAAAAACAAAATTAACATACTTATTGTTTTTAAGTTAAAAAAACATATGATAGGAGTAAACTTAGATATCCTAGAAAAAATCTATTTATCCTAGATAACTTGATTTTCAAACCTGCAGTTTAACAAAACTTCGGCCTCGGAAACTTTCTTCATACAATTGTTATTGTTTGATGATTCTAAAATTGAAAATGTATACAAAATGAAAAATGTTTCAATTACATTATAATTTACATAGAAAATTGATGAGCATTGAATTTAGCATATATTTTGATAAATAGTCTAATGATAGTCTGGAAACTAGAAAAATATTATGACAATTAATAACTTTAATTTATTTGTATAGTATAAATAATTTATTTCAAATTATTCACACATAATTGTATTTTGGTTTTATAGAGTGCTGATAAAGAATTTTGTTGAATTAAAAAATAATTTGACAACATTCCAGTAGATCTAACGTAATATGCTTTTCTTTTTTTCTTTTTTTTTATTCTGATTCATTACCAACAAGGCTGCAAGCAACCACTATTAAGTTAGGAGTTTCTAGAAAAAAAGAATATTGTTATAAAGCAAGGAAATGGTTGACAGAGGACTTGAAGTTGAAGGTTATATGAGCCAGGAAAACATGAAGATGGGAGAGAGTTCTAAAAGATTGAAGTGCGGGGGAAAAAACTAGATGAATAAAAGTTTTTGGAGCATGCAGGGACAGATACAGTAAAAGAATGAGACTTTGATGACAAGTCAAGCAAGACTTTTAGTTGATGGAACTAGAGATGATTGCTCTTTGAGCTGCGACCATGATACTATTTGTAGAAAAGAGAAAAAAATGCAACTTTACGATGGGAAAGAGGCTCAAGCTTAGCAGATAGACCAGGGCCAACTACGTTTACAACACGTTTTTGGACCTTGTCTAGAAGAAAAAGAGCATCATTAGAAAAACCAGCCAAAATATGACAACAGTATTCCATACAGGGACAAATAAGAGATTGGTAGAGGTAGAAAATGGAATCAGGAGAGAATGGCAAACACGATAAAGAGAAACAACCTTAGCCGATCCTAACTTAGCAATCAATTGTATATATGGTTTCCATGAAAGGTCAGTAGTAAATCATAATCCGTAATAAATCATAAAGACATAAAGAAGAGAACTAAGTGAGAGGGTTGCCATTCATTAATATAGGAGTGTCAACAGTATTGCGATAGTTGTTTGCAGTAAATAACTGAGTTTTATTCAAATTAAAACTTACAAGCCACTGTGAGCCCCAATCTGTTACAGAAGTGAGACCAGAATCAAGATCAGCTGCAATTAAAAAAAGAAGACTTTTTGTCAAGACGGGAGTATAAAGTTAAGTCATTAGCAAAAAGAGCTACTTTAGATGTAAGATTGTCGAGAAGATCATTATTGCAGATAAGAAACAAAATAGGACTAAGAATAGAACCTTGAAGTGCCCCAGAAGTTACTGGAAAAAAAAATGTTGGCCATTGAGGATGGTTTTAATAAAGCAAAAGAAACAGTTTGATAGTCTCAAAAACTTTCCCAGATACACCATATGAAACAAGCTGAAGGAGAAGACTAACCAAACTTTGTTGACTTAGATATGTCAAGAGGAATAGCCCTGGCCTCTCCTCTCCATCTAATGCACGATAAAATCTTCCAGTCACAATAGTTAGCCGTAAAGCAAAAGGATCGAAAACTATATTGATTGACAGTAAAGAGTGCAGTTTTGGAAGAAGGAGAACAATAAAGAACAAAGAGAAAGGTTATAGAGTGAAGAGGTGCTAAGTTGAAGCAAATAAAAAAATGGTTAAAGGATTCGAACCTGATTCACAACAAATAGGTGAACTGATGCGCATGTGGGGTATACATGCACATGTGGGGTATATATTAGTAAAAGATATATTAAAACAGTTAGGTGGTGGGGATGGTTTTTTATGTTTAATATTTTAATTTATTTTTGGCATAATTTAATTTTAAAGAGAACTTGACTCATTCATAGATAGAGCACAGCCTTCCAAGCAATGAGCTATGCAATTTTCTCAGCCCTGTTAATTAACATCAAGTTGTAACATAGAGCTTATTAAGTGGCCTCGACAATACACACCAAAAGCATTAACAGGGACACCATTCATGCGCAACATGGCACTGTTAATACTCTGATAGTTTGCAGCTGTTCATGGAATCAGCCTCTCTGAGAGCTACCACAGAGTTCAAGAAGCCTTACTACCAGCTAGCCTCAGAACCATTAAACTGAGTTTTAGAGCTGTACCCTCATAAGGAGATAACAGGAATAGCTGTATAGCCACTATCAAGGGGGCATAAATAAAAACCTATGAGAAAGATCCAGATGAGAAAGAACTTATGAGAAGATCCAATATTTATCATCCTAGGCAGGAAACAATGTAACACAGGTTTACATCTACACTATCCTAATAGATGAAGAAGGGGTTCGAGGCTAGTCAACAAAATTATGTCTAGGGTATAGGTGGTATAGTAGACTCTCCACATAACATAAGGTATGTTAGATCTACATCCTAACATGAGTTGTGTATAGATCTCTTGCTGAAGATAAACATTTTGGTTAATAATCTTGCTGAAGGTAAACATTTTGGTTAATAATCTGCCACTGCATCATTACATATCAAAATTAGAAAAATTCATTGTAAAAAATTAATGTACAAATGATTATACAACCAATTTTGTTAATTTTGTGTGTGAATTGCATATATTTATCATTTTATGATAAATATATGCATTTTATGATAAATATATGCAATATATATATAATATATAAAGCAATTGTTAGCAAGAAGTTTAGAGTTTAACTATTCGCTTTACTAGTAGATAATACTATTGTCTTTGTCATTTCCTTAAATATTTATTTTGTTTTTATTTTAAAATATTTATTTTGATTGTTTTCTTTTATAAGTACTTGGTTATAAATCTTTTCATCTATAATCAACTCTCTAATGACAATTTTATTTTTATGTTTATCAATTATGTTTTAGAATATTTTCTTTATAAATTTAAAACTAGATAGCATCAATAATGAATCAAAACATCTTATACAAATGGCATGTAAAAAGTTACAAAAAACTTGGCATTCATAAATACCAAGTTTTTTGGTAACTTTTTATTTATCAGTACCTTTCTTTTTTTTGAGGCAAGTATTGTTTTTTATCACAAAAAAAAGCCTCTATATAGCATGCCTATGCATGTTTGGTGTATTTTGGAAATGTTGCAATTTGTTTTTCTGCAATCTCTCTCTCTCTCTCTCTCTCTCTCTCTCTCTCTCTCTCTCTCTCTCTCTCTCTCTATATATATATATATATATATATATATATATATATATATATATATATATA